CGGCGCGCGGCGGCCCCCTCCTGGTCTCCGTGGTGATTGGCGCCGCGCGGCCCCGCCTGAGGGCAGGCGAGGAGGGCGCGCATGCGCCATAGGGCCCGTGGCCGCCAGCTGGGGTAAAGGATCGGTGGAGAGCAGGGGTGGCCGCTTTCCTCGTATCCCCTCGCTCTCCTTCATTCCTCTGCCACCATTACCGGTTGGGCGGCTCTCTCTTCCCTTCCGCGGAGTTGAGGATCCGGTGGGTTAGAAAGCGTCGTCTTCAGGGAGCTGCTTTTGCCGTGGTGGTGCTGCCCTGGGAAGGCGACAGCGGCCTGGGAGAGCTTCCACTCCCTTCTTGGCGGACTTCGCGCCCCTCGCCGCTGGGCAGCCTGACTGGTCTGAGCGCCTAGAGCGGAGGCTCCTCGCTGGACAGCGGTGCGTTAGCCGGTGCATCCTTTCAGTAAAACTGTGGTAGGCACCGAATGGCTGTAAAAGTATGGGTCAGTGTTAAATAGCTGGCTTTTGGAAAGTACTAGCAAATTAGGCTAGTAGAAACGATGGAGCTGCTTCTTCAGAGAAGACTATCGAAGTATTCCTTTACTTTTTTTCTCTAGGTAGTCTCCTTAAGCCCTTTTCTGGGTGTTCTCTGGCACTGTACGCCTCATGGGTCTCGAGAGTTTTCAGTGTATGTTCATCTTACTGTGGATGGCAGGTGCACATCTCGTTTAGCTGTGACATCTTACCAGTAAGATTGATTCACAGCAGTACTTAGCTTATTGCAGTCAAAACCTTTGTTAATAATTATTTAGGAAGAGAGTCCTCAGGCACCTGACCTTCTTAGAACTTCTAAAATGTTTTTTGATTGGTTTTCTTCTTTTGCAAAGAAACATAATCACATGATGCTGAGAAGTATTGCTTAGTGCTCTTGTTTAACTAGTTAATTTTTTGTGATGATATAATGCCTTAACTGTTTTGGTTTTTGCAGCTGATTCTTCAGGGAGCTCATCTCAAAGTATAATTTCAAAAAGCTTTACAAATAGTGAAATAAAATGTCACAGAGAAGTTCTAAGGAAGTCAGGAAAGTAAACATTTCGAGCTCCTTGGAGTCTGAAGATATTAGCTTAGAAACCACAGCACCAACCGATGATGTTTCTTCCTCTGAAGAGAGAGAAGGCACTGTTAAAATCACTAAGCAGCTGATTGAACGGAAAGAGTTGCTTCATAATCTTCAGCTACTTAAAATAGAATTATCTCAGAAAAACCTGATGATTGACAACTTGAAAGTAGAATATTTGACCAAGGTAAGAAACGTTGCTTCTTTTGTCATATAATCTTTTCTTGTTTCAGATGCTTTTAGAATATGGTAGAAACTTCCATTCTGAAAAGAATTTCTGTAAATTACATACTGGAAGCCTACTTGGCTTTTTTTTGTGACAAAAAGAGGAAACAAAGATATGTAAAACTTAGCTGATTTGTCCAATGTATTGTACTTACAAATGGATGAGGGGGATCAAATTAGTTTTTCCTTTTCTAAAAACAAAGAGAAAAGACGTGTTTTTTCAGGAATTACAATTAATTTTGTCACGGATAAAAGCAACTTAATAGATCTTTTTACCTGAACTTGTGGAATACTGTAAAGTTATCTGAATGCCATTTGTTGAACTGTTAATGAAGATGTGGCTAGAACATACCGACATGCTAATAGCAAGAGATTTTGCTGTGTACAGAAAGGTGTAAAGGCTTTGCTAGGTTTGTGTGTAGTCAATACTTACAACCTACTGTATACTAACTGTGGCTTTTGCTGATGTGCTGCTCTGAGTTTAAGCTTAGTTTGAAATCAGCAGAACAAGTAGCTATTTGACTGAAAAAAGATGAATTGTAGAATTCATTTTTTTGCCCTAATGAACTAGAAATAAAAATCCATGTTCTATTTTATGAAGCCTTAGCCTGTATGGAGGTCTTGTTAGACAGTCATTATTGTACTTGCCAGCACATTGGGCTCTCCACTTTTTTTCTCTGAAGTTGTTCTTTTTGTTAAATATGCTGTAAAAATTACCAAGGTAACTTCTTTTCCTCATTTTTAATTATATTCTTTATATTTAGATTGAGGAGCTAGAAGAGAAGCTTAATGATGCAATCCATCAAAAGCAGCTGTTGTCTTTACGACTGGATACTCAGCTGGCTTTACAGCAAGAAGATGCGAGGTATGATGGAAGTGAAACAAAACCAAAATCATCTTTGCTAACTTATTAATGTGAATTCACATTAGTTCATGGACAGTTAATGGAAAGTGATGACCATGAATTACAGTAGTAGGATTTCTATTGCAGATTACATTAGCATTTACATTCTGAAAAAATGGAGTTTACATATTCTATATACATATAAGTAAATTTTAAATGAGCTCTCACTTGCTGAAGTTTGTCATTTTGGCTTTATTGTTAACTGGATTCAAAATTTAGTAGGAACTTGGAGTAAGAATGTTCTTTAAACCAGTAAAGAGCAAAAGGAGTAGGCAGAGGGGGCAAGCTTTCCGTCAGTTTAAAGTGAATTTTTAATAAATCTGCAGCCTGGATGACTTGGGAAAAGTAAGATAATGTTTAACACTTCCAGTTAAGATTGTGAATTCTTTCAGTAGATGATGTAGAAATTTACTTTTTTTCCTTGCTTTTCTGAAACATTTTGAGTTAGCCTGTAGCTGAAAATAGACTGGCTAGCAGGCTTCTCCAAATTACTTAGTCAATTACGTGTTTTAACACCTGTAATAAATAATGCTCTTCCTTCATCGTCCTGGTATTCTCATCTTACAGTAAAGGATGCACCAGCTTACAGTACGTGACTAATTCAAAGTCATACTCTGTAGTAAGCCTGGAAATTATTTAGGGATGTGAAGCCAGACCTGAGATTAGTTCCAGCAAAATCTTTCAGCTAATATCAGCTGACTGTCAGGAAAATGTCTCTCATGCTGTATGCTTATTTGCACCAGGGTAGAATATTTTTATGTTGGCCATACTTGAGTTATCTGAGGAGTGCTCAGCAAAAGAGTATTGATGTGCAGAATGCTATTAATAAGCATAAAAAGGTTTAACTACTTTCCTTTCCCTGGTCTTTTCATTATTTTTCTTCTCTGTTACCTCGCTTTTCATCCCCATTCAACAGAATCGTACACTATGTGCAGAATATGTCCATGTGACTGCTTTGCTGATCTGGATTTTTATTTTTGTCTTTTTGAAACAAGTGGGACAGACATTGCTGTGTAGCGCTATCAGAGCAAGTATTTATAGTAATACACTTTAAATAATGTAGGAATTATTGCGTATTGAACAATGATTTAATCTGAATATGTTTTCAAGAGTTACAGCTAAAACCTCCAAAAAAGTAGGTCAGTCACCTTTAATTTAAATAAAATATATCAAAATGCACACTTTGAAACATCTTTAAGTCATGTGCAGTTTCTCTTGCCATATAGTACTTTGTCACTAGTGATAATAGTAATGACAGTATTTTAAGGCTGGAAGTAAGGTTGCTTGTTTAAATCTAGTGGTTTGTGGTTAGTTGGTTTGTTTTAAAGGACCCTAACTTTTTGTGTTACACTGGGTAGATAATAAAGGTTCTTTGTGGAGTAGGCCATAGGCATGTGCTGAAACTTGGCTTGCCACAAATTGAAGTTATTGTTGCTTTATTTGGTGATTTACTAGTTTCTTGGGTTTTGTGTGGAAATATGTTCTGCTTTTTCATGTTTTTTTAACCTTTTAATTGGTAAGTTAAGACTTAATTTATAAATTCAAGTCAGTGTGTGTGTGGAGATTGTTACTTCTCAGATTCAGCTTTGTATTGTCAATGACTATGAAGTTCCTGGCTTTTTGTGTATGCTGTGTCTGACACAATTGTGTAACGATGGTGGTACACACTCTTGTGCTAATTACTTAATCCCTTTGTAAGTTTTCCCCTTTACAAAATGAGCATAACTCACTCCCTTGCCTCAGTATTGTGAAAGTTTGTTACTTGTATTGCTCTTTATTTAATGTCTTTTGTTTTTAAATCAATCTTAAAGAAAACATCAGGCTCTAATGAAACAAGAAATGGAAACTGTTTTATTGAGGCAGAAGCAACTGGAGGAAACGAATCATCAGTTAAGGCAGAGGGCTGGAGATATCCGTCAGAGCTTGCGAGATTTGGAATTAACAGATGATTGTTATGAGAAGCTCAAGTGTCTTCCTGAAGATCAGCTTTCTATCCCTGAATATGTTTCTGTGAGTATTGGTTTCTGTATTGGTTTAAAATATAGCTGTCTCCTGAATCTGACTGGGATGGAGTTAACTTTCTTCACAGCAGCCTGAATCTTGCAGTGCCTTGGATTTGTAGCTAAAACAGTGTTGGTAATGCACCAGTGTTTTGGCTGTTGCTGGACAGTGCTTACACAGCATCAAGGCTTACTCTTTTCCCCACCCTGCCTCCCCCGTTCCCAGTGAGCAGACTAGGGGTGGCCATGAGACTGAGAGAGGACACAGCTAGACAGATGACCTGAACTGGCCAAAGCAATATTCCATACCATCTAACATCATGCTCATCATTACAAACTGGAGGTAGAGGACGAAAGGAGGTGGGGGGGGATGTCTTCCAAGGTGGTTATTTCTCAGAGACTGGCTGGGGATTGGTCTGCTTGTGGGAGGTGGTGAGTTTTTTTCTTTTCATGGTGTTTTTAAAATTTTTTTATTTATTTATTTAATCTCTATATTTCCTTTGCTCCTTTCCTTTCACTGTTGAGAAAACTTGACTCCTGAAATTTCTTGCTTTTGTTCTTCCCACTCTCTTCTCTATCCTGGTCCCTCTGGAGCCAAGGAGTGAGTGAATGAGTGACTGACCACATGGGTGCTTGACTGCTGACCAGGGTCAACCCACCGCAAGCTGTAAATGACTTTTTTTTTTCAAATTAAAGGCTTGTGCATATGGTAGAAGCTTATCTGTACTCCTAGAATTCGTATCCTTTCACAACTAGAATTGAAAGATCTTCAGAGACATGTGTGCTTCTGTATCCATTTTGATTGGATTCCAGTAAAGAGGAGAACTTTTGATGTCCTAAAGAGTAGAACTGCTGATGTGTTTTAAGAGGGCAAAGCAAATAGGGTGTTACGATTAAATGGCAGGCACACATTGATGGTATGAAGTAAGGTAAGTTGAAAATAGAAATTTGAAATTTGGCTTGCCAGAACCACAAGTTGAGACGGCTCTTGCAAACTTCCCTTACCTTTTTCTCACGCTTTCCATCTGGCCCTTTCCTATCTAACTAAATAGTTTTAAAGTATACTTTAGGACTGATTTTCTTGATTTAAGGAGTTTGTTAATTATGGGTTACGTGTAGATTGAGAAGCAGAGGTGGTGTTCTGCTTGCAATGAAAAGAAAGTGCTTTCCCAGACCGTGGGACTTGTCCAGAGCACCCTGGCTCACTTCTGAGAATGAAGAGGATTTAGGCTATTAGGTTATTACCCCATAGCTGTCTCCTGAACCCACTACCCTCTATAGAAGTATTTTAGATTTTTTTTGTTGATTCCTGTACCACCATGGTAGATAAAGCAGATTTTTAACACAAACTGAACTCCACGTTGGCTTGCTTGAAATTGGTGTGCAGGAAGCTCTGGGACTTCAGGAGTTGCTAGAGAGTTAGTACAAAAGACTGTGTGTAGCTGGGCAGGACACATAACAGGAGTTTGTAACCTTGCCAGCTGCTTTAAGCTGTCACAGCACAAATTGAGCGCTTAGACTGTACTTGCAGGTAGAAAGGGGTTCTGAAATACCGTAAGTGAAAAAGCCAAGGTAAAGCTGGAGAGGGACTTCTTACAAAGACATGTAGTGGTCGAACAAGGGGTAATTGATTTAAACTAAAAGAGGGTAGATTCAGGCTAGATATAAAGAAGAAATTCTTTACTATGAGGGTGGTGAGACACTGGCACAGGTTGCCCAGGGAAGTTGTGGATGTCTCTTCACTGGGAAGTGTTCAAGGTTGGATAGGGCTTTGGGCAGCGTGGTCTGGTGGAAGGTGTCCCTGCCTATGGTAGAGGGGTTGGATTAGATGATCTTTAAGGTCCCTTCCAACCCAAACCATTCAATGATTCGATGAATAGCAGTTTTCTACACCTAATCATCCTTTCTTTTCCTCTTACATTCAACCAATACATAATAGTTTTGTCTGTGACTCAAACTCCATGCTACCTGTGTGTTCAGTGAAGCCTCTTTCTTTATACATGTGCCACTTTCTTCTTTTGAATAAGGCCTTTTTTTGGTCAAAATTATTTTTTTTTCCCCAGGTGAAGACATTCTAAAGATACATTGTAGGAAGAGGCTGCTTTCCACTTCTATTCCCAACTTATTTTGGCAGCAGGGTCAATGTAAACCTGAGTGTGTTAGTTAAGCTCAGTGATTGTTTATCATTACTTTGAGTTATTCAGCTGATACAGATGCTAGGAGGCTACAGACCTGTTTTGCATATCCCATGTATTCATCCATTTGGCTTCTGAAGGCTAGGAAAAGGTTGTTGAAGGGAAAATTAATTTTTCTGACTATTTTCAGCTCCGCTTATCTAAGGAGGAATTCTGTTTTCCTCAGGCACATAAAATCTCTAGCTCCAGATCTGTGTGCAGACTAGTAGTATAGTTTACTGATATTAGGGTAAAATTATCTTTGTGAGAGTGAGTTCTGCTTAGAAGAAGATTGAGCAAGAAATTTCCAGAATCTCTTTATTTATCAATGATAAAATACCGCTGTATAATTCTCCAGGACACACATAAATGTATATATAATGCTTATACTTTATTTGAAACCTGATATACTGGACAAAAAACATTAAGTGCTTAAATACAGGGGTTTTTTTATATATAAAGATATTGCAAGTTTAAAATACTCAAATTAAAGCAAATGTGGGGTGTTTTTCACTTTTCTTCCACAAAGGGGTGCAGTAGTGACATGTTAGACCAAAATGTTTAATGTTAATGAAGATGACAAATGAAAAATGTTTTAAGCATATTTCTCTTAAAAACACACTGTTGAGCTTAAATGTAAGAATTTAGATTTTTTTTTTTTACCACTTATATGGATGATTTTTAGAAACAGTATATGCAAAATGTTAAAGCACTTCAGGTGTTGAACTGATGCTTGGCAGCTGAATCATTTAAGCTGTTTGGTAAAGCAAGCCTCTTGTGTGCTGTCCTATAAAATTTTTTCACCTGCCTTTTTGTTTATTTAAATAAGTTAGTCTTTGGATATGTCTCAGTTGTTCAAGTTTGAGTAAGCTAGAAAAAAGTAAAACCTGTGTTTTTCTTTTGAACCTCAAAGGAAAAAAACCTAAGTTGTTTAAAAATGGTATCTGTGAATTTTATTTGAGCTGATTTTAATTACTATGTCTTTCAGTTGCATCATTTTGCTAACTACAGCTTACTTGCTTTGTTTACGAAGGCAGTTAACTGATGCAGCTGCTTTCACATAACTTCATTCAATGAAAATCAACATTCTTTTCCTCTGCAGTCACTCATTTTTAGTTCAACTGTAGTTATCCATAAAAGTGATGGGCACATGCTAAGTTGTTCTTTTTTTAAATCACCTAGAAAGCAATAACTTTTTCTTTACAGCACATCTATATGAATTTGTAATTTTTAAGATATTCAGTTGTTTCTGAAATCCCATTGCAGTATTTTTTGTTTCTGACTTGGCAAGAGGCAATGTGTGCTTTGAGTCTTGAGTTTCAAGAAAGTCTATTGGCCATCAGGCAAGCTAAATAACAGTTGAACTTCTGCTACAACCATCCCCTCACCTGCTGCATTTATCTGCACTTTCTTATTACCATGGCTTGATCTTTTCACGCGAAAGTGATGCAGACATGTTTATCCTTGTTACCTGTATCCCATGCTGTCTTGGTTTGATACTGGGTAATCTGTTTGAGGGTTGTTACGGTTTGGGAAGTGTACATGGCTTGATGGTGTAAGTTAGGTTTCCTAGAGAAATCTGAATAAAAATACAGGAACTTAAGGGGAAAAGCTAGATATGGCTTAAAAAAAGAAAACACCACAATTACCAATTGGTGACAATCAAGGTTATTTGTTAAGAAAAATAATCTAAAAATTTTGTACCTTTTTTTTTAGGAAAAAGAGAATTTGATTGAAATTCAGTTGCTCAGTTTCAGATGTAATCAGATAAGTTCTGAAAGTATTCATCTAGATAAAAACTGTAGTCAGTAAAAGCTGAAGTTAAGAGACTTAAATTGTACTCACTAGCTTTGCATGTATGCTTCTGAAGTGTTTTTTTCCCTAAGGCAGTAGTTGAAGCTTGTGGTAGTTTGAAAGTTAGAAAGAACCTTGAAAATTAAGTTCACCGATTTCATACAAACCCATTAGAAGCAATGTGGTTTCACAGATGGGCATGAAAAAACTCCTTGATTACTGAAAGAATACTACAAGAATAAAATAGTAATGAAACAGTAAAATAAGGTAATAGTAAGTTCACTTCTTAGAACAGAATGGCAATTTATAGTTTTAACTGTAGCTCCTTATGGTTTAATTTGTTATTTGAAATTTTCAAAACATGAACATAAAATTATCATACCTTATTTTGGATTTAATTGAATTGCAGTTTTAAAAAACAATCACATGCTTAATTTTGTTCTTTTTATGTGTAGTCTTAGACAAAATGAATTGGCAATTTCTTGTTACTATCTTAACATTAAAAAAAGGATGCAAAGGTAAGGATGAAAAGTGGAGCTCTCTTGTGGAATACAACCAATTCAAACAACTAACTTTCAACATGTACAGTATTTGGAAAAGCTTGAAAACAAAAAGCGAGGAGACCCACCACTTCTTAGAAAATTTCACTTTTCTGCTTTACTGCTGACTTTTCAGTCATGTTGCACACTTGCTTTACTGTACATAGCAAACTAGACCTATGTTTACATCGCCAATTTCCATGGCTTCTCTGTTTTTTAGAATTGTATGCTGTCAATTATGTGGAACATACCTGGAACTTTTCTTTGTCTTCTGCTGTTGACAGGTAGCAAAACAGAGGCCTGTCTTCCTTCTGCATGGAAGTGTGGTGCAGCTTGCTCTTGAATGTTTACTTTATCTGTGCTTTCTTGCTTGTATTTCTTCTTTAATTGTATATCAAACAAATCCTTAATGATGGGGGGTATGGAGTAGCTTTTGCATGAAAATAGTGCTTAATTATCTATTCTTTTCATCCCCCAGCATAAAAGTTTTAACTGTGAGGTTACCTGGGAGTAATAACCTCTGTGTGCGTGGGTGTGTATCAAAAAAGCTCTTTGTTCTTTGTTTTGTCCCTTTTTGCTTTTTACTACTGACTTTGTGGTTTTACTACTGTATTTTCTAGTCATTTTTTCTTGTTCAATAGAAATGTTCTGGAAAAGTTTTATGGATCTGAGACTTACTTGTCTGAGTCTGTGCCTATGGCTGGAGTGGGAGAAGAGAGAGGAGTGTGTGTTATAGATTATAGGTTACTTTTTATTTTAAATCTTTTACAAGGCCTTTTTCAGTGCTAATTTAGCAGAGTAGAAACAGGCTTAGTTGCATGGTGCAGCTGAACCCATATAGTAACATGTTACTGCTGGATGTGTGTGGAGGGTATGTCATGGTTCTTCCTGGTTGTGTGCTATTCCTGCTTCCTGTGCTTGCTCTGGCTTTTTTTTTCTTGGTGCAGATTCAGCACACTGAACTGGCAGGAAACAAAACTAACCTCTCTCCATTTCCACACACAATAAAATTTGTATTGGCTTGCAGGAAGTTAAAGTTAAGTTAGTTTATTGCTAAATAGGCTTTTTAGCTTTGTGGTTTTGTTTTGAGATTTTTTTTTTTTGGTGGGACAGGGAGGGGGATGGTTTTTTCTTTCTTTTTGCGTTATTAATCAAGTAGGCTCTAGAGTTGGCATACGTAAGAGGTGGGACCATGTGGTCCGTTAGCAGATGTATTTTTAAATTGAGCAGCCTGACTGGGAGCTGCCTTAGTTGAACAGAAGTTTATATCTTTACTTTTATTCCTGTTATTTTTCATTCAGTGCCAAGCACAAACTGATTCTTCATTAGTTGCTGCTGTCAAAGGCTGAAGAAAGACACTGACTTTGCTTTAACATCTACCACTGCCTCCCCAGCCCCAGGTTCCTGGTTATGCACTATAAATCTTCTGGTGAATTATTGCCATAAAATAGTGAGCTGGTTTGTTTTTGAGATTGTAGTTTTGTATTTGCAATTTTGCTAGTCTCAATTTTGAATATCTTGTCTTGTTCTTCTAGATCCGATTCTATGAAGTGGTCCATTCCTTAAGAAAAGAGTTAAGTGAGCTACAGATTAAAAAAGAGAGCCTAACAGAAGAACTAAGTGGGTACAAATCTCAACTGAAGTCTCTGACAGAGGTCTGTGCACCTTAATTATTTCACCTAAGAAACTGTGTAAATATATATGTATTGTGAAAAACTCGTTCTCTAAGTCATTATTCATGTGTGAGATAGAAAAGCTTTTTTGCTGTTTAAAAACTAGGGAAAAGAAGAGGTGAGGTGGGGAGAGAGGCTACCCTGCAAAATTTGCTCATGAGACTGTTCAGGATAAGCTCTTACCAGCTATGTTGTGTTTCTGAGGGAAAGGTTCAAAGGAGGGAAGCTGAGACAGGAGATACCTCCAGCAGTAGCTGAAGACACAATAATTGTTCAGTGTATAGTTTTCAAGACAGTCATGTGTTGGTAGTAATTTGCTTCAACTTTTCTTTTAATGATATGAAGATGCATATTTTTTTAAAAAAGAATTCTTTGGAGTGGCATCTTCTCAGTTATGCCTTTCAACTTTTTCTGTTTTAAGTTTCCTATTTTTCTCTATTAAAGAAAAAGATAATTCGATTTCAGGTAAGATATAAACTCCAGAAATAAAGGAACAAATTATCTAAATATATTTAATTTTTATTTTCTAAGAGTAAAAGAGTTGAAACAGTATAAAGGAGAGTATTGTTTTTAGGATATTTATGAATATTTATAGTATTCTTAACATGTGTACAGCTAGGATGATTTGTATTTTAGCTTAATTCTGCATAAATCTGGAGTTGTGGTAAGCTCTCCAGAGTGTATTTATCAAAGTCATGGCTGGCAGGGACTTAAATGCCAGTCATTTTTCTACTTCTGAAATTATTCTTTGGTTACTACCTCTTTTTTTAACTCAAAATGTACTTATGGCATAATCGGGTGTAAAGAGATACTAGTTATACAGGATTATCTAGTGAAATTAATCTTATTTTCCTTTCTCTTTTTGATTGAATTAGAAAAAAGTCAATAAAATCTGTGCATTTATGTGCTTTGGCATTATTTTGTGTCATCATCATCACTGGTCATAACTGAGATGAAATTAACCTTGTTAACTTTGATTTACATGAACATTTTTCTTCATTGCACATTTAATGTGCTCTGATTTAATAAAATTCTACAGGGGGATTTCAGCCTTCTGAGATCTAACTGACATATGTGTTAATTTTTGCTGCAGCAATTTAATGGGATAGTAGTTAACAATAATTGAAGTTGTACTAGAAACCATTTTCTTGGTACATTGACCTTTCTTTAATATAGAAACTTCTACTTTTGTTCTATTTATACCACAAGGTGGCAGTATCCACCTCTCCTACTGATTTATTTTTCAAAGTTTGAAGATTATTGTGCTTTTCTTTTGATGCTGATGAGAAAGCACTATGATGTTGCCTGTGTTGAATTGAGGTGGTTCTTTGAATGCTTATACCCTGTTTGCATGATCATGCTTAAAATGAGAGACAAATAGTGAGAATAAATGTTTAAAAAAAAAACAAAACAAAACAGGAGAGAGATCCAGGTGTTGAAATGTCACAAGAAAAAAAAGGCTTACAGTTGTCAATAAAAATTATTCCTTAGGAATCTCAGCTTTCAGATAAGAACACCTACTACAGTTCTTCCAGTTGTACAAAAAAAAAACCCCAAACCCAAGTCTTCACCCTATCCTTTAAACACAGATATGATGTATTTTGGGTATTTAGTGAAATGTGACCTGATACAAGGTATTTTATGTGTGGAGAGACTTCAGAGTCTCTTTATTTTGCTTCTGGCAAGTTCAGATTTGACCTAGTGAGTATTGCTGTAACAAAGTACCTTGGGCTGTTTCAGGTAGTAAGGCAAGAGGAGCATTGAGGGTACTTTAGCGTCTCTAATGTATGTAGTATGCTAAAGCTATCATACCTGAGCACTTGCAGCTTACAAAGAAGTGGTTTCAAGGTGTACTGTTGGGGTAACTTACTTATTTGAGCTCCTTCAGTAATGTCAAGCCTTATTGAAAGGAAATGTATCAATAGGAAATGAAGCATAGTTTCATTCAGTCTTACTTGAACTCTTACGCTCTTATTCTACTGGTTTTGTGGTATCCCAATCATTCTTTATTTCCAGCTACTTGAAGCATAGTTGCTGAAGTTCCTTACTTGTTAATTAATAGCTTATACTCTTCAAATAATTCCTCTGGTTTCCCATCCAATATCCTTAATTTTCAAGTTTTCTCCAACATTTGCAGTTTTTCTGTTCTCTGTGTAGTATATCAACAAAGTGTCTGTTCTGGGTTTAAAACTTCTTTAGGAAACTACTAAGACACACTTTTGAAACAGTAATCACTGAAGTTAAGACCATTTTTTCTTTGAGAATAAACCACTTCCTACAGTAAGTGTGCTTTTTTTCTTTTTTTCTACTGTTAGAAATAATTAGGTCTCTTCCTGAGGAGTCTAAACATGGTTTTTTCCCCTCTTTGTGGAATATGGAAAGGAACTAAAATAGATGCTTAACCCAGATCTTTCTGTTAACTAGAAATGACATGGGGAAGGAGGATTTTGCTGACTTTTCTCTTTGTTCATTGCTGACAGAATATGTTTGAGTAAGTTTTATACAATTCACTTGTGTTACAAAAACTTTAATTTTTCACTTCAGGGCATAAAGGACATCTTTCAAATGTTTGTCACCTGTGTTTGTGCTCTAGGTATATGAAGATGTATTTTGTTTGTTCAAAAAAGGCAGAAGGTCTGAAGTTTGTATCTGCCTCTGCTAGCACTGATGTAATTCTTAGTATGCTGCGTAGTAAGACCACTAAAACTCTACAACTTTATAACAAAGTTCTTGTGTTGATTGTCTGTTGTTGCTCTGAGTTAGCACTTAATCAAAGCCTGCTGAATCTGTTACTCAGAGCCAGTAGGGTGGTGAGCTGCTTCTGACAACTGGTAGCAAAGAACAGTGTGCAAAGGCTGATTTCTAGCACTGGAGCGTAATCTGATACACAGCTAGTGTCAAAAGATCTTTGTCACCACTTTCTGTTTTTAAAGTGGTCAGTAGAAGTGGTTCTGCAGTATGACCACTAAGTTGATGGCTCTCTGTACTCAAGTGGTGCAGCAGTGATTTAGACCAGTATGGTTCCTCTGTAGGTGCAGCAACGACAGACTGGGGGGAGGCGGTGAAACTGGTTAAAGTAATTTTCTTGTATTTTAGGACTGTCTCATCTGTTACCAAATGTATAGTACAGAATCGTTTCAGTCCTCCGTTTACACTGCTCAGCACTTGGAGTATAAATAATGTTGGCACCACCACTTCTGGAGGTACAATTAAAGAAGAAAATTCAGCTATAGTGTTACCAGGAGCTTCCCAGAACTACAAAACCAGTTTCTGATGTGTGTTCCCATGCTGAACATCAGTGTACTATTTTTAGAGTCGTTTGCTTCCAAAGTGGTTAAAACCTTCCCTCAAACAGATGTAATTTACTACTCGTGTGTTTCTCTCAAGGCTAGGAGAGAGTCTGAGAAAGAACTTCTGCTTTTCTGTGTTGCTCTAGAAGATTAAGTACTGCTTTCTTCTTCTGGCTGTGAGTTTCTTGGCAACGTTTTCCTGGAATTTGGTCTTGATACCGTTTTATCAGGGCTTCCTTTCTTTAGTTTTTTTTCTGTAAAGTTGCCTTCAGGACTTTTAATCAAATTTATAGTAGGACATTTATCTAAAAGCTATGGTTAGCCTAAAGACAAAGCTGGATGTATGTAGGACAAAAATCTCCTCTAAGACCTCATCTCTGAATCAGGATTAGTAGCTGTCAGGTTTTGCTAGGCAAACCTAACAATTTTCTCTGATAATGTTTCCCAGCTGGAGGAAAAATGTTTCTATAGTCTTCAGAGAATGAACTCAAAGGATCAGTTGGCACTAGATATATCTGAATGTTATAAAATTGTGGCTGCTACTACCACTCCAGAAAGGCTGTATTCCCTAAGATTTCCTCTGAAGTTGATTACATCAGTAATTAAAGATGTGCTCTAGAACCCTTCCCCAACCCGCTGATACCAGCAACTTTCAAGCAGTACTTTGATTACTTGGTATTCACATCTCTCTCTAGAAAGGACAGAGGAGACCTCAGTCTTAAGTGAGATACATGCCTTCTTTCCTTCATTATTGTTAATATTGTTCAGGAAAAAAGCTGCGAAGACAAATATTCTACCAGTTACTATTAGCTTTGAGGCAGCAGTTTAACATTTCCAAGACTCAAGAAAATTTATGCATCTATGAAAGTTCTCTTTTCTATTCAATGTCTTTCTATGTCCTCTGATACATAGCTGTGACTTGTATGGACTGCTGGTTGTTCAGAAGAACCAAATGGCTTAATTCTGTTCTGTAATGCAGTGATGTTGAGGATCCTTTTCACCTGATAATGTTTCACTGACAATTTTCATTAGCTCAGATCCAGAGAGAAAGCTTTTAATCATTCCTGCCCAATCCCCCACCTTTCTTTTGCAACAGAGGCACTTAAGCCAAAGGTTTTCTTTCTGACCTTTCTTGCAGAGCCGTCTTTATTTTGGAAGTAGCTCAACATTTTTGGTTGTAATTCTTAGTTGTAGATAGTGCCCCATCTACAGTCCTTGACAGATTAGCAATTTCATATCAACATACCAGAAGAGATGTCTTATTCAACCAGTTATACATAACTTCTTTCTGACATTTGGGCAGTTGTATTCAAGGAAGTAATGTGTTCACCAATAATTTTTGAATGCATGCTACATAAACAGATTGAACCAGATGTCAGCTTTACTAAGTAGCAGCACCTCATCCAAATAACTTGAGGGAGTTGTTTTTCACATCACAATAATATAGCAGCTTTACATTTGCCTAGGGCCTTTAGGTACCTTTAGGACATGAACAGAAAGTGCTGGCTTGTGTAAGTGATCCTTCAAAGATAAAGTTCTTTTAAATAAGCTTTTTAAAAGCAGAATCACTTTCTTCCACAGGCTTATCTGTAGACAGTCTGAAGAAGTCGTGCCACTTCTGCTTGATTGGCTGATTAATCTCTTCCCTGCATCTCTGTTGTTTATCTTCTTATCCCCAAAGGCTTTTTGAAAGATCAAGCTAATCCCTACCTTGTATTATGTGTCACCAACTTTGTTCAAAAAGTATGTCACCCAGTTTTTATACTTGAAATTTAGATAGGTATTTATTTCAGTGACTGCTATAAGCTGCTGTTCATTCCAGATGGAAGATGACAGTGAAGCTCAGTATCATAAAATGGAGGTCTGTCATTAGAGTCATTTAGTTTCTCTACCAGTTTGGGTTTTAAATGGTGCAGATCAGGCAAATTCAGAATCTTCTTGCTTGAAACACCCATCTGATGACAGTGTTTGTAAACCAAATGGAAGTCCTTCTTGGTAGGAACTGCTTTGCATGCTCTCTAGAAACCACCCGTACTGGTTAATGCTGGGCCTCTTGTACAGCTCTGCTAACAATTTCTTTAGGCAATGCTTGCCTACCCATCTTGCACAGGACAGGTTTGTGTGTTTTAACCACCTCATCTCTCTGAGTTGCTACCCTCTGCAGTAGTAAAAATTAGTAAAAAGCTGAAGAAAAGCCATGCATTGTTGGCAGGATCATCACAATCATGTTCCATGTAAAGAAGTACTGTTTGTCCTTCAAATTTTAAGGTTTCTGGACGGACTTATTTTTATTTATTGGTGTTATTTCTAGGACCTCGTTCGCGTCCTTGAAAGTGCTCTGTATCTTGATCCCTTTAAAAGCCCCTTTTTTGCTTCAGCAG